TGGGGGTGGGACCATGTGGGGGTCTGGGAGTGGGGCAAGACATGGGGCTGGGAGTGGGGCAAGGTGGGGGCTGGGGATGGGGCCGGATGAGGGGCTAGAGATGGGGCCAAGTTGGAGGCCAGCAGTGGGTCGGGGGCTCCCGTCTTCAGCGCTGGCAGGAGAAGCTGGGGGAGATCCCGTTCTCCGGGAGGGACGGACCTGAAGCCCTCCTTGTCTGCCCCGTAGGTTCCTCTATGGAAAGAAAGTGGAGGGAACTGCCTTTGTCATCTTCGGGATCCAGGATGGCGAGCAGAGGATTTCCCTGCCTGAATCCCTCAAGCGCATCCAGGTAGCACCACTGACAGATGCCTCTTTGATCCCTCCCCCAGTCCCGCCTCCTCTGAGCCCTCTCCCCTCTGAGCCCTCCTCTCCCTTCCCAGATTGAGGATGGCTCAGGGGACGCCGTGCTGAGCCGGAAAGTACTGCTGGACGGGGTGCAGAACCCCCGACCGGAAGACCTGGTGGGGAAGTCTTTGTACGTGTCTGTCACCGTTATCCTGCACTCAGGTGAGGCCCAGTCTGAAGGCCAGGCTCAGGACCATCCAATGGGCCGGTCTGAGAGGGGAGGCCAGCTCAGAAGAGAAAGCCTAGTCTAAGGAGGGAGGCTCAGAGTGAAAGTGGGGTCCAGTCTGATGGGGTAGGCCCACTCTGAGAGGGGAGGCCGAGTATGAAGGTGGAATCCAGTCTGATGGGGGAGGCAAGGTCAATATAAAGGTGGGGTCCGGTCTGAAGTCTGTGTCCACTCTGATGAGGGAGGCAGGGCCAGTATAAAGATGGGTCCAGTCTGATGGGGGAGGTAGGGCCAGTATAAAGGTGGGGTCCGGGTTGATGGGGGGCACAGGCCCAGTATGAAGTCTGTGCCCAGTCTGATGGAGGAGGCAAGGCCAGTATAAAGGTGGGGTCCAGTCTGATGGGGGGCACAGGCCCAGTATGAAAGTGGACTCCACTCCGAGGGAGGAGGCCTAGTCTGAAGGTGGGGTCCATTCTGAGGGAGGAGTTCCTATCCTGAGGGGTGGCCCAGGAGCCTACACTCACAGCTGGTCCCCTCAGGCAGTGACATGGTGCAGGCGGAGCGCAGCGGGATCCCCATCGTGACCTCTCCCTACCAGATCCACTTCACCAAGACGCCCAAGTACTTCAAACCAGGAATGCCCTTTGACCTCATGGTGAGACCCAGGGTGGAAAGGGGTCCCCCTCCTCCCTTCAGGAACACTGACCACACCCCTGAGCCTGCCTGAACTTCCGCCACCTGCACCCCCCATCACAGGTGTTCGTGACGAACCCCGATGGCTCTCCAGCCTACCGAGTCCCCGTGGCAGTCCAGGGCGAGGACGCTGTGCAGTCTCTAACCCAGGGAGACGGCGTGGCCAAACTCAGCATCAACACACACCCCAGCCAGAAGCCCTTGAGCATCACGGTGCGTCTGGGCCCAGCCTCAGAACCCCCGCTCTGGGAAGACGGTACAGGGGTCCTGGTGTTTGCACAGTGGGGTTCTGCCATTTGCATAGAGATATTCTCATCTACATAGAGGGGTTCTCTCCTGCACAGTGGGGTCCTGTCATTTGCATAGAGATATTCTCATCTACATAGAGGGGTTCTCTCCTGCACAGTGGGGTCCTGTCATTTGCATAGAGATATTCTCATCTACATAGAGGGGTTCTCTCCTGCACAGTGGGGGTCCTGCTGTCTGCATAGAGGAGTCCACAGTTCCAGGAAACAGGACTCTTCCTCTTGCGTGCCCTGCTCCTTCCACTTACACGGAGAAGCGCTCCATCCACGCACAGTCTTTCCACTCCCACGGGGGAAGGAGCCTGAATCTCACAAGGAGGGTTGTGCAGTGTTCGGGACAGGCCCATTGTTGTAAGGTGGTCTCAGTCCTCCTGGCTTCCGTGGAAGTGGCCCTGTCGCCCTCACTGGGAGGGAAACGAGTCTCATGACAGCTGTGGAGGTTGCAGATGGCCTCCCGGTCCCTCTGCAGCTCCCAGGCCGGGCACCCCACTTACCCCTCACTGCTCAGCATGTGCGTGAATTTCCTGTGGCTGCCATGACAAATGGCCGCAGCCTAGTGATCTGAAGCAACACACATTTACGGTCTACAGTTTGGGACGTCAGAAGTCCTGGCTCTGGGGGAAGGTTTGCTCCCTTGCTTTTTGCAGTGTGGAGAGGGCACCCTAAAGGCTGGCTCACGGCCCCTTCCTCCACCTTTAACGGCAGCAGCAGAGCATCTTCCAGCATCTCTCCCTTTCTCTCTGTCTCTGTATCTCTCTCTTTCCCCATCCTCTCCTCTTCTCTCCCCGCTGTCCTTCTCTCCCTCTTTCTCCCTCTCTCTTCTCTCCTCTTCTTCCCTTCTCCTCCTCATCCTCTTCCCCCTCCTTTTCCTTTATCTCCCTCCCTCTCTCCTCTTACGTTTTCCTCTCTCCTCCTCTTCTTTTCCTCCCTGTTGTCGCTCTCCCTCTCTCTCTCTCCTCTTTCTCTCCTTCTTTGTCTCTCTCTCCTTTCCTCTCTCCCCCGCCCCCCCTTAATAAATACCCTTATGATTACATTAGCTCCACCTACATCATCCAGAATAATGATTCCATCTCCAGATCCCTCACTTAATCCCATCTGCCAAGTCCCTTTTGTCAAGAAAGGCCACCAGTTCCGAGGTCTCAGGGATTCGGGTGTGGGCATCTTTGGGCGGGGACCAGCATGCATCCTAATCCCCACCCAGGTGCGCACGAAGAAACGGGAGCTCTCGGAGGCAGAGCAGGCTACCAGGACCATGGAGGCTCAGCCCTACAGCACCGTGGGCAACTCCAACAATTACCTGCATCTCTCAGTGCCACGTGCAGAGCTCAGACCTGGGGAGACCCTCAACGTCAACTTCCTCCTGCGAATGGACCGCGCCCACGAGGCCAAGATCCGCTACTACACCTACCTGGTCCGTGGCCACCTGGAAACCTCAGCCCCGCCCCCCCACCCGCCTCCTCCTTGCTTCTTCCGAATCCCTGGGACCCCTTCCCCCATCCCGATCCCTCCCTGCGTTCCCTCCCACTCACCCTCCCCAGCCTGATGGCAGCCTGTCCCCCCTAGATTATGAACAAAGGCAAGCTGTTGAAGGTGGGACGCCAGGTGCGAGAGCCCGGCCAGGACCTGGTGGTGCTGCCCCTGTCCATCACCACCGACTTCATCCCTTCCTTCCGCCTGGTGGCCTACTACACGCTGATCGGCGCCAACGGCCAGAGGGAAGTGGTGGCCGACTCCGTGTGGGTAGACGTCAAGGACTCTTGCGTGGGCTCAGTAAGTGTGCCCTGGACTCCCTCCCTCCCTCTTTCCCTCTCCCCACTCCTTCTCTCTCTGTCTCCCTGTCTCCTCTTTCTCTCTCTCTCCCTTTCTCCTTTTCTGTCTCCTTTCTCTCTCTCCTCTTCCTCTCCCTTTCTCTCCTCCCTCTCTCAACTGTCTCTCCTTTTATCTCTCTTCCCCTCTCTCTTTATCTCTTTCCCTCTCTCTTTATCTCTCTTTCCCTCTCTCTTTATCTCTCTTTCCTTCTCTCTTTATTTCTCTTTCCTTCTCTCTCCCTCTCTCCTTCTCTTTCTGCCTCTCTCTCCCTCTCTCTTTCTCTATCTCTCTCTTTTCTCTCTCTCTCTCTCTTTCCTCTCTCCCTCTCTCTTTTCTCTCTCCCTCTCTCTCTTTTCTCTCTCCCTCTCTCTCTTTTCTCTCTCCCTCTCTCTCTTTCCCTTTCCCTCCCTCTCCCCTCTTTCTCTCCCTCTCTCTCTCCCTTTCTCTCTCTCTCTCTCCCTTTCTCTCTCTCCCCCTCTCTCCTTCTCTTTCTTTCCCTCTTT